CGTGTAAACCTCTTGATATTTTGTGCATTAAGGCTAAAAAATAAATGGTACTGACTTGGTTTTAAACTGAACTCTCTGTTCGCTTGTTTGTTTCTTTACCTATGAAATTAGTATTTGTCTTCAAGCCCTTACGAGTTTCCAGTTGTATGATCTCTGTGTCACTCTCTACCTGAGTTTTTCTTGTGGGATTTGGACCAGGGGGTGCAACTCCACTTGGACACCAGACCATATTTATCCAGGATGTACTCGGGGTTCCAGGCCCCCATATGAAAACGTATGGTGGCTGTACCTTTTACCACAATACCTTGCAAACCTAGCACAGTCCAGTAGATACATGGAAAGCCATATTTTTGTAATATTTGTCTCTATACTTACGACATCATGCATGCTATAAGTTGGAAGATTTTAGAACTTTTCTGTACGTCCTTTGTGAGCGTTCTTATGGTTTTCGTGCGTTAAGAATAATTATGAATATTGGTAAATGTACCAGTTGCCATTTTGAAGCTCTCGGGATTATGGATATTTAGGTGAAAAGAAAAAAACAGAATAAAGAATATTTGGGAGGAAAATTATTGGAATGTGGGATATTTAGAATGGAATACGAGATAATTATTCCAAAAGTTAACGGGGTGAGGGATACTCAGACCCCCCCTGATGAGGCCTCCATCTTTTCTCCTATGGAGTTCTATATATACCAGCAATGTTTCCAATGATACAAAGTATGAATGGAAACTGAAAATGTAGCTGCGCAATTTCCAGTGAATCAATCTCGTACAAATATGATCGGTGATTTCTTTTACCAGATATCGCAGGTTGTGGAAATTCAAAAACAAATTATTTTTACATCGGATACCACCCCTCCTACCCCTCCCCNATCGGATACCACCCCTCCTGCCCCTCCCCTCTCTTACAAACGTTGATTTCGTGCGGCGTTAAAACCCCATAGAAAAAAACAACTTGATCTACGTTATACTCTTCTGTTGGTAGTTTTTACGAGCGTACTGAAAAAAAGTATTTTTCAAAAGGCGCAACATAGTCTCGGCTTTACTTGGCTCAAAAAGCAAGAGGGGCAATTGACCCCCACCCTACTCCCTAAGAGTCTACAATTTGTAACGACGGCTGCCACCCCGCGTACGGCAGTTTTCGCGCCAAAACTAAAAGGCGTGTAAACTTGAAAACAAGCTTCATTTTGTAACTGAATCGTCGTCTTAATTCCGCTTCGTTTTAACCTTAATCGCTTTTTTAGACAGCCGTAAAGAGGTCGAAATCATGGTTTAGCGAGTTAGAACACTGAAGAAAAGAAATTGTTCGTGATTTAGAGAGGTAAGATGTCGTACAGAGGTTGCATTCGCCGCCACTAATTTAGTGGATTTTAACACTCGAAAGCCAGCTAAATGTTATCAATTTTACCAGTTTCACTTTCTGCATTTGCTAGTTCACCGGCCGCTTTCTTTGAATTAAGCTTTAATGTTCTCTCCTTTCCTTTCAGAGGGTACGTTAACAGAGGAACAAAGTTAACAAAGCACTGACGACTCATGAACTTGGGACTTCACAGCTCACAATTCAGACATGTTAAGCAAGGTTTTGTGTGAGTTTAAACGAACTTATTGTAACAATATATGCTCGTAGACTGTGTTATTGTTTTTAAAGCACTTGGTCATAGTCTTAACAATGGCTCACATTTTTTTTTTTCAAAATTCAGTGATGGTTTTTAATGCGCACTGACGTATTGGTTCAACAATTTGTCCTCGACTTGTGCAGAATTAAAACTGACCGAACTGAACGCGCAAGAAAATCAAACACAGACTCTCGGGATAAATATTTCTCCCTTAGTCACTGTTTAGTAGAGATAAATGTGTCTCTGTAGCGTTAAATAAGTGTCCAACTTCAAAGTCGCCGTCCGAATGATCTTCTTGTAAACCATGCATAGCGAGAGATCAGAAGCGATTTTTTCGATCAATACTCTTGATCAGTTTAGTGTCTTTTGCCAATCAAATTATACTTTACAGATGAATATGTTAAGACGCTAAACAGTCTAGACCAAATAGAAGAAAAAGAAACTTTGCATTCTTGCAGGGTCGTGTTCCCTACGCAAACCAAAATGTTTCAGTTGAACATTTGAGATTTTACGTTGTTGTTTTGCAAAGGACGGCTATAAGAAGTACCATGACATCAAAAGCACGTGCAGGCGTAATGAGGGTCAGTTTTGTTCAGTTTTAACTTCCTTGAATACATGGCTTGCCCTGAAACTTTTTTCAAGCATGAATGATTCCTTGATATATATGTCATGGCAAGTCTAGGGTTCAAAAAATCAATAACGCGTTGAACAGTTTCGCCAAAATTTTTAGTCGTAATGACTGGCTAGCTAGTAAGACTTCATATCAAAGTTCCCCATGCAGGCTATAACATGGATGGAGGTTATAAAATCTCTGAAAGCATTTACGTTATCAAAATATTTTTCAAGAAAACTTGGAGTCGTCAAAGATCTACTTTGACCACTGGCTGACCAGAGTTACAACTTTGCAGGTCGTATTTATTAGGGGTACTGTACTGATTTGACCCATTGTGACTGATAAGCCGTTTCTTGGAACAAAATAGTCGTCGGAATCAGAGTAAAAAATGTGAAAACATAACACGAATTTAAAGTACTGGAAGACCTCAAAAACTGTTTAGTGTAATAACCCGTAGTGAAGTTGTTTTGAGAGTACATTTTTAATATCTTGCAGGCCTCCATTTAAAGCTTCAACTCGAGCTGTTCAAATGCCACCTCCTTCACCGCCAAAGTTGGACGACATTCTCTCACAAATGTCCCAAAGAGATCTGTCTTCCACCCAGCTTTTTCGCTCAAACTCCGAATACTTCAATGACGCGAGGACAAATCATGCACCATCTAAAGTTACAGATATGTCCCCGTTTGGCAAAAGAGGAGCTACATTCCAGAGCAGCTACGGAAGCCAATTGAGTAGGGCCCCCGGAGACTGGCTGACAAGTGGCTCGCAACTAACTCATTCAAGATATTTACAGGCATCACAGGTAGTTAATGAGGAAGACGAGGCTGATTATGGAGACGAAGAGTTTATACAAGATTCCCCAGAGCTGTTTACCCAACGCGATGACTTTAACTTGCAAGGGGCTCCGTTTACGACATATGACCTGGAGCGTATGGGCAGCTCAGGAGGTATGAAAACTCCTTATTTATCAGTCTTCTCACATCAGTTATTGAAAAGATTGGAAACTGAAGTGAGTGACTTCAGCGGCTTCACAGCTTCAAAAAGACTCCGTTGAAGTTTGCTACGTACCTTACATCAGGAGCTAGTATCGGAATCATCATCTATCCTATCTGTGCCTAAGTCGCACATAGGGCTTCGGTATCGGAATGATCCTTCAGTAATACATTTAAATTAATTGGTCTTTCACAGTCACTATTCATCTTGTATAAGAATTTATCCTATACGATTGTATTATTTAATCTAAATACGCACGCTAAACGTTTCGCAATTCGTAGACAACAGGATAGACCTAGTGTCACAGCACTCCAGGCATAGCGACATGCACAACGCATCATCTAGACAAAGCTAATATTACTTTTGGATCGTTTGTAGGTTTGACGTTGAATGACTATAGCCCAGAAGATGAAGAGAATCCCAGCTCTTACCAGGCAGCAGCTCCGCAGTACAACTTTGACACTCCAGGTCGACTTGTAATACCAGGTGAGGAAATACCAAACTTTGTACTGAGATTTATCAAAATAAGGAGGTTAAAGATTGCCATGATAGCGGCTGGTGGTTACTGTACAAACTACAGATAAAAGGACATCCGGGGAAAATAGAAACCGCCCGTGAATCAACCGTAGGTTACAACTGCACCTCATCCTGTATATGTAGACTTTGGCAGTCGTACAAATTGAAGTCATCTTTAATTATGCAGGGTGATCCTTTCAGTCACCTAGGCCCGCATCAATAGGGGCCCTGCACTATGTAGAGCCTATAGATTTAACTATATAGCAATAGTAAAATATTGTAACAGTGCAAAAATCCAAACAAATATGTACAAAAAGTGTTTCTAAATCAATATTAAACATTTTATTTCTTTTCTTGTTTCGTTTTGCAGCTTTTGCTGATCAACCTGGTACTTCAAATGCATCGATAGGACTTCGATCAATCAACGAGATACGTATCCTTCGATACTTTTAAAAGGCAGTAATTAGTCTTTTGAAGTTGATCGTTGAGGTATCACTTCAAACTAGCTTTTTGTTGAAACTACGTAAATGAATTTTCAAGATATATACTACAATACTTTTAAAAACGTTTATATACGCTATCACCCTTGGCTCCTACGTTACTATCTTTCGCCGGAAACGCAAATATCGAATGCGGGCGTTTGTTCATGAGATCCACATGAACGACGCTGGTGCAAAAACTTTGAAATAACAGAGCCCAGTTTCTCAAAGCAGGTTTCTAGGTAAAAGTAAGCTATGAATAAACATAACGCATTTCGTTTGTCCAACATTTAACTTTACACAGGCGGAGAAGATCTGGCATTTGTATAAAGGAGAATTTTAAAAGCCAAGCTCTCTAGGGTTAGAGTTAACGGCTTTCGAACTGGGCTTTCTGCAGGACTTTCGATATCATTAAGAAAGAAGGCAAAGTTGTCTATCTTTAACTACACTGGGTAAATTATTGTCGAGTATTTGAAAAATATGCCTCTTGTAGTTCAAATAAGCGTTTTATAAAAAAAAAAAAAGTTTTCTAGGCACGTGCAGCCATCTTCTAACAAAACCTATATTAGTAAATTTTACTTGTTCACGATTCACAGCTAAATTAATTCCCAGTTTTCTGCCTTAACAAGACATAGCTAACCCATTTCGTTCGGTTTTCAGCAATTTTCCGTATTTCAATATTGTACAATCAAAAGTGTTTGACGAGGTAGGTGTATGGACCAGAACTGATCCAGGAGGTTTCTTAGTTTACTTGTTGTGTGGTCAATGTTAACGAAAAGTGCCCTCCAGCCCTCCGGGGCAAATAGATTTTCCTACCGTGGGGCAAGTAACTTTCCCTTGTCACTTGCCCAACGGACAAGTGCTTACGGTAAGTACTTTGCCAGTCAATTAATAAAACGGGAAGCCAAAACGAGCATGCCATTGCCCAGGGCTAGCAAAATTTGAGAGCTACTTGTCCGAAGGGAAAGCTGGAAATCAAACATTTTTCCAGCTTGGGATCGATTGGCATGGCAAATCAAGCCAAAAGACTGTAATCCGCAGTATTTGGTAGTAGTTTACGTGCTCATTGGTAGAAAAGACGTCCAAGCCATATCATTTCATGTTGTTGTAAGTAAAATCCTCCTGTTAACAGGTGATGTATACGGACAGACCTCTCGTTGTATGCGCCCCGACTGGGTCTGGCAAAACCGTTATTTTTGAACTTGCCATCATTCGGCTACTCATGAACAGTGGACAGGGAACATCGAAGGCCAAAGTAGTGTACAGTAAGTGTTTTGTACGCAACACACTTTCTAACCGAACAAGCTGATAAGCATTAAGTCATTAAATACATAGACACTTCAAAATAACTGGACAAGACCACTAATTGCCCTTTATGGTGGCTTGTTTGGCGGAAGTTCTTGTGGATGGTAGTTGTGGTTGCAGATTTCTCCGCAGATATTTTTGTATTTTTCTTGAAATGTAAACGTTGTTGACTGCTTTTAGCTTTAAATGACAGTTTTGTTTCGTGGTTCAGTCGCGAATGCAAACGGCGATGTGCTGAAGTCAGATCTAGACAGCCATTGGTTTAAAACGATAAAAAACAAACTATAATTTGGGGCAGGATAGAAATGCTAAAATTGTATCAAACTGGAGTCTTTCTCCCGTCCAATTTGTCCCTTTAGCCCCCTATGACTACCTTCGCATGCAGCAGCTCTCGGGAATGAAGAGGAACCGCGTTAATCCGACTATCCTCGGGTCACTAGCTGCAACGTTCACTTAAAGGAAGAAATTTTCTCACTGAGGTTTTTTTCGGGTTCAAATGAATTTAAGTGATCATAATAACTCGGTAGTTGTAAGGTGGAATTCCTCTGTAGTTTTATGTAGGAAGACTTACTTAGCGTGCCAATCTTTTTAATCCAAGTGGCCCCAATGAAAGCGCTCTGCAGCGAGCGATTCACAGACTGGTCAACCAAGTTTGAACCATTTGGCTTGCGATGCAAAGAAGTGACAGGCGACAGCGAACTAGACGACTACTATGAACTACAGAACGTCCACATTGTCATGACGACTCCTGTAAGTTTGATGTTTAACAATGATATAATTCACGGTGCTCGATTAGTGCTGTAATTATAAGGTGGCTGGTATGCAGCAATTGTGCGTTACTGTTAGGAACGTTACTGTCAACCCTAAACACTGTTTTAGTCGCTAAATAATGGCGTTAAAGGAATTTAAGATCATTGGCAAACAGTTACTGATTACCAGACTTTTTTTTTTGACATAACAGTTTACCATAGCAAAAGTATAGTCAGTTGCTAAGCCTAAGTGCTTGAAGGGCGTGTTTAAGTACTCGATTTTGTATTACTGAATATTTAATGATAAAACGCGTCCTTTTGTGAAATTTTCAAACAATTCTCCGGAAGAGGGGTCGGAGTCACCTTAAATATTTGAAAAATGTGGTTATGCATTAAAAGCAAATATGGACCGAACATGGCACTTGTTTCCTCGACTGCGTTAACAGTGAAAATTATATTTTTCTTCATACCAACAGGAAAAATGGGACAGCATGACTAGAAAGTGGAGGGACAACCGTTCTTTGGTTCAATCGGTGAAGCTGTTCCTCATTGACGAGGTCCGTTGACTTGAGCTTTAGAGTTAAGCGTTTAGAGCAATATTTATTATGTAAGACAGTGTGGCCGCTAGGCCATGTAGGCCAAGGTCGTTTAGCGTTTCTCTCCACTTAAAGGGGGGTCCGATGTGTGACAGTATGGCTTGAGCGCGGAAATCTTGTAGATCAAGCAATTTTTGAAGAAAAGGAACCGCTGCGTCAGTTGCGTAGCGTCAATTTGGGTTAGCTAAGTACTACTCAGCTACATATGCACATAGGCCGGTTCCCCTTAATTTTACTAAACGATAAGTAACACATTTGTTTTGCTTAAGCATATTTTGCCCATGTACTTATATAGCTTGCATTTCGCTCGCTTAAAACATGTGCATGGATTTATATCCAATATTAAAAATGACAGTATTAAGACAAAAGAAGGCTCAAAAAAAAAAAAAAAAAAAAANCCTTTTCGTTTGGTAGGTTCATCTCCTAAACGATGATGCGAGAGGCGCTACTGTTGAAGCGGTTATCAGTCGCATGAAGACCGTTCAGTCCACCATGACTCGAAATAGCACATCAGGAAACAAGAACAGTCTGGAAAGAGCGAGCATGCGATTAATAGCCATCTCAGCCACCATACCAAATGTTGAAGATGTAAGTTAAGAAACACTAAAACATACATGCACCTACAAACTCGGTCTCTGTCTCCAATTCTTTCATGCATTCCTTTAGTTGGAAAGCAGTGCAAAGAACTGCTAAGGGAAAAAAATTCTGTTCCTTTCTCGGCTTGCCGCTCTTTGTACTGCTCTCCAACTAACCAAACGACTAGAACAAGCTAATCACAGTGTCTGAGAAGTTAGTGTTAACTCTTGTTTGAATTGATGCTTTGAAAAAGTTTCAGTTTTGAGAGCCAACCATATTAAACCCTAACACTACGTGAATGCTCATCATGATACTAAGCTAGATTGTCAGGGTAAGTTATTTAACCCTAATTCTTTGGCATTTAACATAAAATAACAGTGTTTCCCTTTTCTCTGTCACAAAAAGATCGCGGCTTGGCTCGGAGGAATTGACTCACCCGCATCACACTACAGGTAATTAAGACTTATTTTGGAACCCAGGCCCAGGGAAATAAAAGGTTTTATTCACACGAGAACCCGATCGCCTCTGCTCTTAGAGAGATTAGTGAGATTGAGTGCAGACTTCCGTGGAGCGTACTATCGACTTGGCTAAGTATGTTAAAGGAAGGTTTTCCACTCAACTTCCGGTTACCGTACGTTCTTGCTTCATAAACGTTTCGTTAAACTCCTTAACCTCACGGACGTCAGCAGTGAAACGCGTATAAATTTCCCGGCTAGGCTACAGTTACAAAACTTTCTTTTGATTTTATCGTGTTTCGTTTCTTTACAGTATGGACGATTCACACAGACCAGTCAAGCTAAGAAAGGTTGTCCTTGGCTTTCCTAAAGGAAATAACTACTCTGACTTCCGATTTGACTTGTCTTTGAATTATAAACTAAGTGGAATCATTCAGACTTACTCCGATCGAAAGCCCACCCTTGTGGTAAGAAAAATATGATATTTACGAATATTAACCTTAATCATGACCTAACATCCTCCAAGTTCGGGTACAATCAAGAATCCGGTCCTAACGTCATCTCGTATAACAGTGTTAGTTTGATCAAATTGCTTCATATTTGATGGCCACTCAAATAAGTCTATACGAAGCTCATAACAGCCAGCTATGGGGGCGTTTGTATGCAGTTGGTACTTCTGCCTTGTGTGTTACGAGATATGCATGGTGTTCTCTTTAAAGCTCTGTTCATTTGAAAGCTTTGCTTCCTTTCCCTCCAGTTTTGTTCAACTCGAAAGAGCACTCAGCAAGCAGCACAGATGCTTGTGAAAGACGCACGATTTATCATGAACTCACAGCACAGGCAAAGGTATTAACAAACTTGCATGAGTTACTGTAGTATACTCAGTTATTGAGTGTGATGTATTTCCTCTACTTCTCCTTGGTCTACAAAATTGAATTTTTTGACGATATTTCAGTTTTCGTGTTGAAATCAAAATTTTGTTCCACGACCGATACTGGTCTTTTTCTCACAAAATGAATGATTAAAGCCTTGTATATTACCAGTGGGGGATCTAGGAAAGGGACCCGGGA